ATTCACACTCATCACCATCAGATCTGTAGAGACCGTAAAGACACTCAGTCCAGCTCATCTGTAACTACCCATTAAAGTTCTTGATAGCAAAACCTGAGAATTAAAAGAAATATATTACATACATGCAACAAATAAGGGTGAAAAATCACAAACGTTTAATAGCGAATGCACTGACATTTTGTTGAAAAGACATGACAGACGTTTATTTGAAGTGCAGATGACATTTGTCGTTAACAGGTGCTGTACTGTGGCAGTGGTGTGCGTGAGCACTGAGGAAGGGGGAAGGAGCAGGTAGTTAAGAGAGAGATAGAGCGATGGAGTAGATTACGAGTAGAGAAGGAAGGGCTGTAGGACAGGATTAGATAGAAAAGAGACAGATAGGAATGTGTCCAGTGTCTATGTCCAGACTGTGGTCACTGAGCCGGTCCTCCCTGGACAGCCTCTCTGGGCAACCTGGTCTGTCTGTGTCCAGTTTCTGTGTCCAGGCTGTGGTCACTGAGCCTGTCCCCTCTGGATAGACAGGTCTGTCTGTGTCCAGAGTCTGTGTCCAGGCTGTGGTCACTGAGCCTGTCCTGTCTGGACAGAGAACCGTGAGGGGGGTCCGCTGCTGTAGGAACTTTCCACCACTTCAGGACAGACGTGATGTGATCTCCAAGTCCCGGTTCGAGCTGCTGAGCTTTGAACATTTATTTCACTGCTAGGGTCTCCTGCAGGCAGGGAGCAACAGCAATCAGTCTTTAAAAAAGGAGGAGTGGAGGCTTGGAGGATCTGGGGCTCCTCTTTACGTTGGACACCCAGGAGCTGCACAGGCTCAGGGGTAACGGGAGTGAAAACCTGATTGAGGGCGTTTTGTCATCTCATGTACATGGGGGGGCTTCAGTTCTTCACTGGTGTACAGACACCTGCTGACTGTGCGAGGGTTTAATCCAGTCAGTGCTTAACTGTGCATTTCACACTGTCTGTAGAAAACTCTTTCACACCTGAATTTAAAACAAACCACCCACCCAGCTGCCAGGTCCTGCAGTGTTTGTGCCTGCTCCGTTTTGTGCTTTGTATCGTGTGATACACTTCATCTCTGTTTCACAACACCCTCGACAGGGCTTCAGATTCCTGTTCTGTCTGCAGTGTGTTTTCTACTATATGTTTAACAGAAGAGCGTTGTGCACCATGTGAGATATTACTACTGCGTAAATTGTCTACTGCACTGTACAGCACAGATAAAAGCATTCAGAGGAGGCCAGTAGTACCACTCGGAGCCACAAGAGGGCACACCGGCTCAGGATAATCGGCTCTGCTTCTTCGTTAGAATGCCTGAACTCGCTCACAGGTGCCCTTCATGGAGAAAAGCAGAATAAAAGTTCAGGGGAGATGAGATATTAGGTTGTTTTCAGTTTTTTCCCCACATTCAGTTATCAGTTTTGTGGGGGAGGGTTATGTGTTTTTGGAGGTTCCAGGAGGATGTTTCTGCTTTTCTCTGTGTGGGTTTCTGGGTCTTCCCTCACTGTAATGAGGGTGGTGATGCTGCTGGTGTTGTTGTGGTGTATGATATTGTTTAGTTGCTCTGGTCTGTAATTCTTGTTCTAGTGTAGTGGCTCACGCTAAGCAGAAAACTAGCAGAGTTAAAAAACGAGGTCTTAGGATAAGTGGAGGACACAAGGGGCAGTAATAGGCCCAAAATAAGTCTTTCAAAAGGCAATGAAAGAATTGAGACATCTGCCTTCAGACAGGCTTCTCGTACTGTGATGAGATCAGTTATCCAGTGTTTCGCTGATGTTCTTGCGGTGATGCCTGATCTGACTGGTGTGTCTACTCCTGTAGAGCGTGGAATCCGAGTGAACTTCACAAATGCTCAGGGAGACGTGGGGGAGAGCAGGTAACCGCTCATGACTGGAGTTCGGCCCCCACTTTTACAGCTTGACTTGCTCCCTGTGTGCGAGGTCTCTGCTGCAGTAAGACTGGAATGAGTGTGCAGGGGAGTCCCCGAGGACCCTCTGCTCAGTGAGGAATACTGAGAGTCAGCCTAGTTTGTCTCCTGGGGCATGTCTACCCCGCCCCAGAACTTCACATCATGCAGTTACAGCACATGCAGCTCAAGCTCTTGTAGAATTAGGCTGTAGTAGGTCCCCTGGTCTTGTGCTGGTCTGTAGGTACTCGGGCGACTATGGGAGGAGAAAGGGTCATTGTACTGGGTGTTGTACATGAGTATAAAAGCTACAATACTTTACGAACTGAGCAACTTTTCTATTTAGACTAGGCTGCATCTGCTTGGTGGAGGAGATCCCTCAAGCACAACTGAACTGGAGAGTGGGTGTAGCTGGAGTTTCTGATATTGCTCCTAAATGGTTCAGCTTTTACTGTATGGATTGTCTCTTGGGGGATTCAGTTTTGAAAGTGAACTCATTAAGTGTGCTGTCAGTCAGGGCTCGATACCGCACTCCCTCCCTTCCAGTATTTACATGTTCCCACTTGGTCAGCTATTAAAATCACGTGATCTAAATGATCACTTCTACGGTGATCATGCTCAAATCTACTTCATACTAAACCTGACACTGAAGTGGCTGTCTCTGTGCCAACTGCGTCGCTAACACAAAAACCTGGATGACTCAATTCCCTCTGTGTAAACTGGGCCAAGACTGAAGTCATGCATCTCAGCACCTCCACCAGCTCTGTAAAGCCACTGTAGTAACCTGATCCACGAACGGCATGGTACTTTAAATCTGCATTGAAGAATTTGGGGGTGATATCTAATCCAGGATTGACTTTTTACACATGTGAAAACAGTGTCTTATGTTGTCACACACTGTACAGTGTAACTGAAAAACTAGTCGACGTGCCAGCAGCCATATCGCCCTGCAGCTCAACTCACAGCCCCCTGGAGCCCAGCAGGTGTGAGCCTGGTCAGTACCTGGATGGGAGACTCCTGGGAAAAACTAAGGTTGCTGCTGGAAGATGTGTTAGTGGGGCCAGCAGGGGGTGCTCACCCTGCGGTCTGTGTGGGTCCTAATGCCCCAGTATAGTGACAGGGACACTATACTGTAAAAAGGCTCTGTCCTTCAAATGAGATGTAAAACCAAGGTCCTGACTCTCTGTGATCATGTGTTATCCAGGTGGGGGCTCCCCACTGGTGGTGGTGGTGGAGGGGATCCCCATCACCAGTAAAGCGCTTTGAGTGGAGTATCCAGAAAAGTACTATATAAGTGTAAGCAATTATTTCATTTTCTCTCAAATTGAGTACTGCAATGGCCTACTTGTTGGGGTATCCACTGCACATTGAAAAAACGTCCATGTGTCCATAATTCAGCAGCCAGAATCCTGACCAGGTCTAGTGGAAGTGATCACATTACTCCTGTCCTGGCCTCCTTGCACTGGCTTCCTGTCAAATTCCATGTGGACTAATCCTCCTGCTCATCTATAAGGCTCTATATAGCTTGGCACCTCAGTGCAGTGAGGAGCCTCTGAATTAAAAACCCACCTGCCCTGTCCTCTGCTGGAGGGGCTCCTCAGATAAACTGTGCTTTCAGGACACACCCCCACTCGGAGCTGTTTAAAATGGCGGAGCATGTGGTGGCCTGAGCTGTTGATATGACTGATATGAGATGTTGATATGTCTCTGACGCCTCCCCATGGCAATGTGTTCCATCTTGATTTCTCATTTCCTGTTCCTTTCACCACATCCCCCGTGTATCGCCGTTTTTAAAAAAAAAACACCATTCAAGTTGTGTCCACCCCTTCCGGCAGGTTCTGGTTTTCCTTTCTGAAATGTTAATCTTGACGCAACTGGCTCCCATTGTCAGAGTGAAATTGCCCCAGGCGCTCGCGTCACATGTAATGCTCCTGTGGCCCTTGGAGAAGGAAAACACGACGCTTGCTTTGTAAAGAGGTCATTCCCCTGGGAGGACATTTCATTTCAGGAGTTCATTTCCCCTGTCAGCCAGTCACGCGAGGTATCGGACAGACGGGAGAGAGAGAGGGGGAGAGAAGGAAAACAGTCAATAAGGTGAAACGTGCCAAACAGGAGGAAGACAGACGGTAGTTCACCGAGAGGGGAGAACAGCAGAAAGCCCATGACGGACTGTGAGCACAGAGGGAGTGTCTTTATTGTTGTTAAAGGCAGGAATTCTCTAAAAGAACAAACAGCCCTTCCATCCGAGAATCCGGCAGTATGGGTCCTTGCTTCCGTGGGGAAGATTATTGCAGTTACACAAATCCTCTTTAAGTGAAAGACTGGGAATGCTAACCCATCACATGACTGGCAGCAGAGTATCTCAGCATATTTACAGTATAATCCTACCCTATAATACCTGGCTGACTAACATATATACAGAGTACTTCCTGAGTAGGACAGCCGTGAGGTCAGTTCCCCATCCCGTTGGGTAGAGGCATGCTGCCCGCCTCTCCTCTCCTCCCATTGGCTATCCCAGGAGGCGAAGCAGGTGGCGGTGCTGTGGTGGGCGGGAAGAAGTCGGGGCTCAGGGGGCGATTCTGGATGACACACACAGAAAGGGGCGTCAGGGGCATTCCATCCTCGTGCGTTTGTGTACATCTGTGGTCACTTCACAAAGAAGGAGTATAGGAAGAGCATGCAGACCGAAACACACACCAACACCGAGAGACACGCAGCCAGAGGGGGAGGTGGAGGGACAAACGGATACACAGAGCCACACGGACAGGCAGACTGACCGCTCGACCGCGGCCAGAAAACACTCTGGTCAGTCCACTGCTGTGGGAAACGTGTCTGAGAGTCCGACCAGTCTTCAGCTCCGACAGCAACTCAGGGCTGCTGAGAGAGAGACACCCTGTGAGAGAAAGAGACATGTTAATACAGACACACTGGACACTACAGTCCATTAACGCTGCACTGAGAGAGAGGGGTTAATACAGACACACTGGACACTACAGT